CGGGAGGGAGGTGCCGCGGGCTTCCGCCACACCTTACGGGGACGGAGGGCTGCGTGCGTGCAGTGCCCTACATTGACAAATACCAAATAAATTTACCATGAGCGAGTTCCCAGTTCTAAATTTGCACTCTTATAAACAACCCGGAGTTGGGAGATGTAGGCCAGGTATTTATAGGTTTATTCAGGCCGATGAATTAACACAGATTTGAATCAGCTGAGCAGTTGATCGAGTTGTTCTCTAGCTTGACAATTATTTTATTTTTAGTAGTGTAGGTTAAAACGTGAGCTCCTATGAAACACCAGCTCTTTCTATTTTTCATTGACAATTTTTTAAGATAAAGTTTTGTGAGCTTTTAACACTGTTTCTAATACTTGTGTGTGTGTACTTACAAAATGAAAACTGATACTTTTTAAAATACAATGGCATTAATACTTTAATTGAACTACGGTGGATAGTTACACCAAGGAGAGTGCTCATGCCATCTGTGATAGCCTACATTAGGCTTCTTACACAAGTGATTTCAGTTACCTGAAATCTAAGAGAACCAGATTTTCAGAGAGGTTCTTGGTATCTCTGTTTCTCATATTGTACTATACTTACAATTTTGTTCTTTGATTCTCACATATGCAGAATGGCCACAACAGAGAATGTGAATATTCTCATTAATATCCCTTTTATTACAAAATACGTAAAACCATAAGTCTTGTGGAAACTAATGCAAAACGATGTCTGAAACATGCATGGTCTTTTGCCTTATCAGCACATAACATAGACAGCTCATTGCTGCATAACTCTTATTCCAAAACCTATATGATTATTACATTTACTTCTGAATTTGGACTTGCTTGTGCATGGTATTACTGTTCTGTGGGTCTTGCATGAACACAGATTACATTCTTGCTGTCTTTTTTATCCATTCATGTATGTATTAGTTTCAGCTATGTTATTTATTCCACATATACACTTACAAGTTTTAAGCCACTTGATGGCATTACATTGAAAAAAACCTTTTAGTGTTATATTTAGAAAAAAACATTACATTTAGAAAAAAACCTTCACACAACTTTCTGCAATGAAGAAGTCATAGAGATTTGTGTTTGTAGATAGAGATTTGTGTTTGTAGTACACTTATTTTCGAATACTGAAGAATTCAGAGTTCCAATCCAGGCTATCTTAACTGCCTTTTCAGAAATAAGCATGTACAAGTCTGACAATAGTATTTCACCATTAGTGGCTAATTAAAAACTATTGCAGCAAAAATTGTGTACTGATCATGCTGCCCATTAGCAATGTTCCACATTCTGAATCCTTCCTCTAGCTTCAGCATAAAGGCCAGACTTTGAGGGGCTTCCTCGTAACACTTTAATAATAGTTACAAGTATGCACAAAATCATTAAATGAAAAAGTCTTTAGATGATATTCTAGTCATTCGTAGATGTCACTATTCTAGATCTTATAGGCACTGACCAAAGTCATGCGTCTCTAAGGTACTGGGTAACCAAGTGAGCATGTATAAATTGAAAACCTGCTATTTTCTTAGTGTGGAGTTAAATTTAGAAACATTTAAGTAAAGTTGCTTTAGCACCAACTGCTGTTCAGTTTGAAACTTACTAGAACCAGACAATTCAGTTTGCTATATGATTACATACTGTGCTTCTTCTGGCAGTTGGTATTTCTTTTCTGAACGTTTCCAAGGTGACAGTAGCTCATATATGGAGATTACTAGCTTTTAGGAAGCAAGAAATGCCAATAACAGAATCTTAATTTTTACAGTGTGGTTCATGTCAGATTCCAAAAAAAGAAAAAAAGAAAAAACCTTCTCTTTCCCTATGCTATAAGATGGATCAATATTTGACTGTAAACAGTGACAAAACGTTGATAAGTGTCTTATCAATGAGTCATTCCTAGAGATGTAGTGAGAACAGAATGAAAAGAGAATTTGCTATCAGAGCACTCCAAGGTGGCATGAGCAGAGATGAGCTTGGATGAGGTTGCACCGTTGAGAGCAACGTATCTGGAATAAGACAATCATCTCCACTCCTGGAACTAGCCCTGACTCTGGGGCAAAGTAGCGAATTTCATCCCAAATCTATTGCACAGAGAAGAGGAAAAGAGGGGGATGTTTCTAGATGCACCGCACTTCATGATTATCAAAAAATATGTGCAGAATGAAGGAGGAACTAGATGTTCTGCAGAACATTTAGAAACAGAAAAAAATGAGATTTCTCACCCAAGCTTTTAAGTGAAAGGAACAGTAGTATAGAGGCTATACTGATATTTAAGTGTAGACACTTGTGTTAGGACCACAGGAGATTGACACAGTACAAGGAATCATTTTTGTACAACCTCTGAAATGAGCTAAATATTCCGATCATGTGACTGTGATTGATATTTCCAAACCTCATTTATAAAAATAGACATATGTGTGTAATTTATATATCTAGAGACATTTGGAGACGTTGCCACAACAGAGTCTTTCACGAGCTGTTTATGTGGAATCGTGGGAGACTGAAACTAATCTGTGCAGCACATTTTTGCTTCTAAAAATTGTATGTGACAATAAGACATGCTTACTTTGCTGACAGTAAAATTAGTTGCCATTTTTAGAAAATGATCTATTCAGAATATCAGATAATGCAGATGCAACTTTAAAATAAATTTAAATAATGTATTTTTGATATACTCTTGAAGTCTTTAGATAATAAAGGACTATGAAAACTTGCTATCTAGACAAAATTACCGAGCATATTTCTTCTAAATCCTACCTAAGTTTGTTCTCCGATAAATTACTTTTTAGTAGCAGTTAAAAAAGTATGGATCACTATGATCAGGAAAAAGTCACAACTGGTACATGTTCCAGAGGAAAAAATCTTGACTGCTTTTGAAATGTGGATTTCTGTTTTATAATTATAGTCAAATATTACTTCAAAGCTGTGACCTTTACTTACTACTTGAGAAATACTTAAAAAAAAATAGTACATGATTTAATAATTAATGTTATTTTACATAAACTAGGTTTCCTTGTAAAATTGTCCAGAAGTGGTCAGAGTCCCTCAAGATTAGATAAGACATACATGACATATATGGTCAGATGACACGAAAATACTGACCTAGGTATCTATAACACATTGGTCATTATTGGATAACTTTCCCAGATCTACTACATCTTTATATTACAACAGCAATCGGGAAGGTTTGTTCCAAACTGTATGACTCCAAACTGAAAACCTAGTTATGTCGGGGCATAGTTTAATCTCGTGCAGCCTCTGATGATCCATCTGAACGATAAATGCAAAGTCAGATCACAGCATGGATACTTTCATAATAGTGAAAATACCATAGTAGCTGCAGCCAGAGGGAATGAGAAGAGGTACTAATTTAGTGGAGTGACAAAAAGGCTTAAGAAACATTTAGACTCATCTTCTTGGCCTATCATAGTGATGATGAAAGACAAAGGGACTCTCCATATGTATTTTTCTCATTCAGGATGGCATTATCAATCCAAATCTATAGTATAAGGCCTTGATCATTCAAGATGATTTCAGCAAGTGGTAAACATTCTTATGCAACTCTGAGTGAATGGGACAGCAAATTTTTCCAAGGATAATCAGAACCCTGATAATATCCCTGAATTACCAGAGTTTGTCAGAAAGGTTATCAGTTAAAATCCTGAAGCCAAACACTTTCCTACCATAATTCCATTGAAGATTTTGTGATCAGTGACCTTACTGTTTTGGCTATAGAGCTGCTGAAAAAGGAACATAATGGTAGAAGGAGGACTAAGAAAGAGAACTAGCTCAAAAAATGTAGAGATAATATGTAGATGTTACTCTTCTGCTCCTTTTACAATATCACAACAACTGTCAGCAAAGAACATTTTAATGGTATCAAAGTGAACTAAGTGCTGAAAGTGTAGCTGGAGTAGAAACAGTTCTTTCAGTAATGATTCTTTTAGAGGAGTCCTACTGTATTTTTACTTGTTTTAATGGACAAATTTATAGCAGCCAACTATCCTTTTAGAGCATATGCTGCCACAATCTTCTTATATACGTCCATATATACATATAAAATACACTTACACACACACTCACTCATTCTAAATATATAAATTGCCTTGGCTGTTTTTTTGCTATTGTAAAAGATATAGCCTGAAAACATAGAACTGTATGTCCTTTTTCACTAGTATATTAGATGACAGCTGTCTAGCCAGAGAGAAACAGTAGCAAAGAATACTCAGAGCAGGTATATAGTTAACTGGAACAGCATCCTTAAGAGTAGGTAAAATATGAAAAAATGTCAATTGCAAATATCTTGAAAGATGTAAATCTGCTCTATTATACAGAGAGACAAAATCATTTTGTTTTATATCTCACCCTGTAAATTCCATTAAAAATCTTTTGGTTTCCTTCCTCCAGGAAAAACAGCTTTCATGGAATAATACAACTACTACCATGTAAATTTAACTCTTTCCTCCCAAGCATGCATTAGCTGCAGGCATGACCACTGAAATTTGCAAAGAAAGAAAAAGAGCACACACACACACACACACACACACACACAAAACCATAATTCTTACAGTCTCTTGACATATGCTTCTATATATATAGGTATGTTTGTGTATGCATTTTGTACAGATGCACATATATTCTCCTGAATCCCACAGGGCTGTTATTTCCCCCCCCTCCCTTAGTTGCCATTTAAAATTGGCATTAAATGATTAAAAGAAAAGAAAAGAAAAGAAAAGAAAAACCAAACACTTTACCCCTTTACCCCCAGATGCATCCTCTCATTTGAGTAAAGTACCTGCACCTTCATTTTTGCTTTATGATACAGTCTCTTAAAAATGTAGCCTTCCCAGTGTTTTCTTTGTGGGTTGGTTTTAAAATCGTCATTCTAGACTGAACAGTACCAAAAAGCAGAGGAGAGAGCAGGAGAGAAGAAAAGAGCGAATATGGAGGAGAAAACCGAGTTTGACCTGCGAGTAAAGACGAAACCAAACTCCGGAATAGCCTTCTGGCCGGGTTTCCCTACTGACCCTTCTCCAATGAGTCCCGTTCCGTAAGAGCAAGCGGAGGTTCCAGAGAGTTTGCAAGACATGAAAGACGCAAACGTACACGGCGTTATTGAGTGTTAACGATTTCAGCCCCGGAGCAACCACGAGATGGATTATTGTAAACGCAGTTTCACAGCTCCACGCCTGCTGAAGTAACCCGAAGCGTTTCATTTTAGAAAAGCCCCTTAGGATTTGACAAGAGATGAGACAGAAGTTTACAAAACCTTGGATCTGCCGCCTTTACTTTTGTTCTGCCAGGCTGGGACAGCTTTTAGAAAGCAAAGGGATCGCAATTTCCCCTTTTCCCGCAGCAGTGTCCCCCCCGTTTACATTCGCAGCGTGCTTCCAACACACAACGACAGCCAACTCCTGCAGTCCCCTTGTCCTTTTCTTTGCCGAATAAACCTTCCATTAATTTACTCCAAGCAGCCTACGGACTGCCTCCACCCTATGGCTAAATCCCCTTTGCCCTTAGATCGGGCTGCATCTGCCTTTTTCTCCTTGTCGTTATTATTTGCACAGGACACGTCCAGTATCTCAGGAACACTTGTAGTTTGCTTCCTCCCGCGCTCGGTGGGATCAAATCTGCAATTTTCAGAGGTTATTTTCGGCAACGAGCTTTGCACTCAGGAAGATCGGCTGGAGGAAGAGCGAAGCGCTTCTGAAAGCAGCACAAGGGCATGCCAAACCGGGGCAGCAGAGCTGGCTTCTGCTTCACTTCTGCTGCCCTTTGCGGGAGTGAGCCAGGGGAGCTCAGCTGAGGTGTCACCCCGCAGAGGAGGAGACCTGACCTACTACCTGCTCCGCATCTCTGTCTGCCTGCATGGCTCACAGGCACTGGAAAGACTGCGGGGGTTGCTGCTGCTGAGCAACAATACATTGCTTTAAACTAAACCTCAACTTACCACAGCAAGGATGGCAACACAACTGGAGCTTTGGAGCTGCCAAGAGAGCCGCGGAACCTGGGTTTTGTTTGCCACTATCTAATAAATGGGAGTAAAATGGAATTTCTTACCTGGCTTTTTCCTGCCTTGGTTCTACTGTGCACCCAACAGCACAGGTGTATCAGGTAAGAAGAATACATGTTATAATTCTTTCTTAGAGCAGACTTAGCTTTTCTTTACGTGTGCATGGGATGAAAAAATGCCAGATTTGTAGCTGTAACTCTTTTCCCTGCCCCTAGCTCCCATTCCCACTTTTGCCTGCGCATGGTCTCCATTTAAGGGCTACAACTGCCTAAGTGTTCAGTAAGAAAAGGTGGTCTTGACTCAAGAGTTTCCTCCAAGGTGCCCTATCCCTTTATTTTCTAGGAGAGGATGCACTTCTGCCAATTGAGCTGCAGTGTCTTGGGTTAATATAGGAGTATGCTTCCAACAGGATGCCTAGGGGAGCCTTTTCCTGAGGGCACTTTAAATTGGGGGTAATCACCTTTTGTAATGGCCCTGCACATCCTGGGGCAGCCTTGCTCCCCTTAAACAGCTCTGTAGGGGGGTTGGTTGGAGAAGAAACTCTTTTATAAAACCCAGAACAACCAGTGGGGTACTAACTGTACATCTTTGCCTACTGCCTTCATAGACATTATTTTTAAAAACTCCAAATGCAGACATTCCTTTGCTAATGGGTTCATTAAATATCCTGGACCTGAGATAAGAGGAGGAGACTGGAAACTTTTTTTTATGAAAAAAGTTTGAAGAAAGACAACCATTTTTTTAAAATAATAAATTGTAAAGATAAATGTTTGCCATTGTTAGTCACATTTATTCAGAAGGTGTTAGCTAGGCAACCAGCTATGTACTCTATATATTCTCTACAGACCTGGAGGCTGTATGTGGAGAAAGCTTGCCATGATTATGCAATGAAAACAGGAGGGGGAGGAAGAAAAGAACTTGGTGCATGCAAAAACATGACTACATCATCCAGAGCAGAGATGGCTGTGTATTACAGGGGTCTTCCTACTTTTATTGTATTGACACTGTTAATAGTATCAGAGGGTAATAAAAGGAAAGTGATGACTGTAGTAAGACATAACACTACTGTTTCAGTTTTTGAAATTAATTGGTGAGATCTGATTATTGCAGTGGGAAGGAAAAGGATCTTGGATTAGAGGAAGTGTCAGGTCAATTGCTCTTATTCAGGACCTGACTTAATGATTTGTCTATGACCTTGAAGCTGTTATCCAGGGCCAGATCCTGACACCCTCATGCTCTGAAGTGATCCAGTATTTAACAGAAGCCAGAGAAGATACTGTTTATGATCTAAAGGCATCAAGACCTGGCCCATGATTCCAGTGAATCTGTTTCTCTCTCTGCATTTTGGCTACCATTAAGTATTTTGGTTGAAAAGTACCATTTCAGTACAAAATAAACAAAATAAATTTTAAGGAACAGTCAGTCTTCTCAGCCTGTGACTTCAAGGTCTGTTTCTAAGTATAGCAACTGTCAGGTTATGTGCAACCTGTAATGTGTTAGATACATTATTTTATTGTTGGATTAATTGCCTAATTACTTGGTCTTCTTTCTCTAGTTACACAACAGTGATGAGTTGTTGTTAGAAATATATATGCCCATGGCAGAGGGTTAGGAAAGGTAGCTTCTAGCGTGTGAAATTCAAACTGTTCAGATCATAGTGGTTTTCCAAAATATGCCAAAAATGTAAGACGTTCAGTGTTCAAAGAAAGCTGCTCTGTTTAGTACAGTAGTTTTCTGAAGATCAGGATTTAGCATGGATATAGCAGATAATTGGAACACTGCTTAAGCCTGTAACTTTGCTTCTTTGCTTACACGTGTACTTTTGATGAGTTAATTAAACAGAAATAAAAAACATTTTACTCTTGCCTGAGAAAAATTACTCACACATATGTGACCACTGACTATGAAGTAATTCCCTTTGTAAGAACAAGGAAGCACATTAATTGCCTTATTCTTCTTTCTTGGAGTCTTGAAATATGACAATTTTGGTGAGAGATGCTTTTTATTAATCTGTTGTTCTATAATAATGGATAAAATTGCCAATAGCTATGTTTCTTTATTGCTCCAACTTTGTTTTCTAAATGTAATGTGATTCATGGCTATGATGATAGAGGCATTCAAAAATGCTCAATTAGCTACCTGCCAGTTGTATGGATTGTGTACAAACAGGTGTAAGTAAAAACATACAAAAAAGGAGGAACATTTCAAAGGATTCCAAAGTCACTGGTATGACATAAGATTTCCCAAGGATGAACTTTAAAGTTACTTATTAAAATAATGTTAAAGTCTGGCACAGGAGAGAAGTAGCGAAAATAAGTAGCCTGCTTCCTCATAGCATTTCTGACTATCATTTCAGGGTGCTTAAAAGAGCTGTCTTTGAAGCACCTTCTCTGTCATGTGTGTTATTTGACTGCAATGAATGAGCCAAATTCAGTCTAACTGAGCACATTTGCCTCTACTTATGCCAGTGCTGTTTTCAGGTAAACATTCTTATGAAATTAGTATTTTTGGTCTGCTTGAGAGACTGATAGTGGCAGGAAATTTGGCATTTATGTAATTGATAGCTCTTTGGGGCTAAGACTGCAGCTTCTCCTATTTTTTCAGAGTTTGATATACTGTAGATGCTGCAACAACAAATGTGTCACAGTCAATGAGATCTGCTGAAATAAAGTTAGCGAAATCTTTCTTCTTTCTGCACCGGGAGAGAGTATTATCAGTAGGACTTTTGGGGTATAGGCTCATACTCTGTAGTTCTTAACTGAACAAGATTTTTGTTCTCTAATAAAAAAAAAGGTATTTAAGATTCTACTATGTTAAAATGACTTTTGTATATTTGCATACAATTAACTGTCATTCGGTAGGGTATCTCCCTTAGCCTTTTATTTTGAGTCATGAAAATAGAGAAGCTTTAACCACTGAATATATGTAAAGAGTAATTTATTTTCTGTAGCTCAGAGAGAATGAAATACGGGCTTTGATGTTCATAATGTTACCATGAATTAAGAATAACCCTTTTTCAATTACATTTCAAAATATAGAACATATTTACAGTGAGTTTCACTTAGAGTCAGGAATGGCAGATAGAAAGGATACACATGCTGCCCTGGATAATCCTGGAGCCTGACAGAGGTCAGATTGTTTGCTGACCTGGCTAGATATTCTTTATCTTTTTCCCAAGAAAAAGTTTTCTTGAGTGGCAGTGACATCTGCAACATCTGTCCCCAACAGATTATCTTAAAGGAAAGAAAATGTACTCCATACCAGTCCTCAGTATCAGTAAAACTGGTGTTTCCATCTTCCAAGTTAATAGATTCATACTGCAGCTATGTCACTGCCCCCAAAAGATTCAGTCAGGTTAGCGGATTTAAGGAAGAAATGGGAGATGCAGCAAGTGATTTTTCACATCTTTTCTTACTGCTATACACACTTGTGAGAAGGTTAGCAACCTCCCTGACCTAAAATCAGCATCTCAGTGGCTACTGACTTAAAGATACTGCTGAGCTTTTTGCATTGCTGCTAGAGCTTTCTGTAATGCTGGGCAAAAATAATATTGCTGAAGTTAAGTCTTGCTCAACTTTTGTAAAGAGAACATATAGACTGTCCCTGTCTTTGGAGAAGACCTGTTAATACAGGCTAATACTTCACTTGCCTGATAAGTCTTTTGAAGATGTGCTGTCCAAGTTGATTGACACCTCTCCTCAAGATCATTCCAGATTAGTAGAATGCATTGGTTCTTCAACAGCTAGGAGAAAGATGTGATCTTGGATAGGAAGGAGTTTGGGATATATGTACTTTTTATTCTAGAACTGATAATACAGCTCTGAAAGAGATGCATTTCTCTGCTATGCCATTTGAGATCCATTGTTGAGTTACTTTCCCTAACCTGTGTCAAGGACATTTTTGCTGTCAAAGAAGAACTTCACAGTTTTCCTAAGTTTAACAGCATCAGTATCCTCTCACCTTTGTCTAAGAGAACTAGCTATTTTTTTTTTAGTTTAAACAATAGTAATCTGTTTTCCACTGCTAACCTCCAGCTCTTTTGAAGTTCTCACAATGCTGAAAGTCCAGATTTGGACTGATGTAAATATATTCTCCAAAATATCTGCTTGAAATGAGATATATCTAGAGTGAGAGTGGAGATTAAAAAACATTTTCTTCAGCTTCAAGTTTGGGAAAGACTTCCAGAGTGATATTGGTACTCATGAATATGTTGCTATTCAGTCAACTAGGCATCCCTCTCTGGCCTAGTGCAAAGTAAAGATAAGCTTTCTGATGAGCTGCTAAGCCCCTTGAACTTTACAAATCTATAGCTTACTTTTATCAAGTCCCTTTCTTACCAAAACAAGCTTTACAGAAGCTTACATCAGGAAGTGAAGTTGCTGCATCAACTAATAGTTTCCTTTCTCTTCATCTGCATTGCTTGTATTATAAAAAGTTAATCCCTTCCAAAGTGTGTTTTCTATGCTGGTCTTCCTTTTTTCAGATAAAATACATGAATAATATTTTAGGCCGCATATAATCCCCACTGCTTATCAAAGGATGAATGAAACTCTCCAGTCATCCTTCACATAACTCTAATGCACTGCATTTGATGTACAGAAGTCTAAAGGGATGGTTCAGTGGAGCTATCACAAATTGGCCTATAAATTGCAATGAAATTAAAGGCCTGCTTTCCAAAGTCATTCTTCCTGACTGAAGACTGCAATACTATCAGCTCATAGTTGTACTTATATTTTCAACAGATAAAAAAAGAACTAAAAAGATTATATGTAGAATAATACTCTTGACTTCATCGTTTCTGTTCTTCAATATTCTTCAGGGAGATAAAAGAGGGGAATGGGGGCATTCTACTGTGATGGAGGACCTGCAATGATTTTAGCCCTGAAGAGCTCACTTCACATGGACAGTAGAACTTGGGCCCATTTACACCATACTGAATCACACACACAAGCAGTTAGCCCCTGCTACGTTATTCCTTATGTCTGCATTTTTTCCCTTTACTCCATCATCCTCCATACCAGGCTGACAAAATATAATTTGAAGAATATGGTTGTTTCAAGTGATTTAAGGGAAAATATAGGTTCTTCATGAGAAACCTAAT